GTACCACGAGAGGGTCTATGAGGTTATGAATTGGGGGTTAGCATTTTGTTGCTACAACAGAACATGTCTAAGGAGAGCCTATTATCATTAGAAGCTCTATTAGGAAAGGGACTGATAATGTCAGATTATTAATGATTACTCAGATAGCATGTATATTAACATGGGACTTAGCAGTGTAAGGGACATTCCTGTGTCCTTTACAGAGCTCAGGCTTTCTACAGTGGGAAGGTTTGATTAAAGTGCTCTATCTGTCAACAGGGAGCCTACCACAATGTGGCCATGAAATGTCGACAGTGGGACACAGAAAAACCAGTGTGACCATTTTTCACTTTTGGCGACTTTTGCATGTCGACAGAACTTTTGTCGTCAAATCTTCCCAGTGCAGACATAGCCTTAGTCTCTAGGCGTGGGAGATCTTGATCTTACAATTTTGGGGCTATTCCCTCATCAGTTGGTAAATTAGCCCCGGTATTAAGACTAGGCTCGAGAGAGCATGATTGGTTGGTCCTATTAAAGCAAGAAGAGCTGTAGACATGAGATGCAGAAACCAAAAGGGCTTTGATGTAGTGAAAGTCCAATGACTGATACTATATACCTGGTGGAGGAATGTTTGGGCCTTGAAAAGGAGGTCAGAGGACGAGCAGTCTCTTGCTATGCAGAAACAGCAGATTGTTTTTTAGAAGTATTCTTGAATTATGTGTATTGATACAGATATTCAGTGTTACTTTGTCTCCTTTGCTTACCCTGATCCCCCCCATCAATCCCCACCAATCAACCCAGAATAGCAGGCCTGACAAGATTCCTGTACACTGTATATAGGGCAGGACAACAGCACCGTATAGTTCAACACTCAGTTCTCAGGACTTCTAACCAGCATGAATGGCTGCCCTATGAACACTCATATTAGCATAGCACCGGATAACTCTTGCCTTAGTGCCATCTAGCCAGCTTTCGCAAGAGTTCAGTCACCATCATCATCAAACTCTTCCCCCCATACAATGGCAATTGTGCCCATGTGAAACAATGCAGGAGTGAATAATCGCCTATATTAGATGAGCTGGGACTGGTAGCAGTGTCTTGTATGAGGAGCTATTTTTCTGCCTTGGCTTGCCAGAGCTGGGATTTGGTGATTTTTCCAGGCTGAATTTGAAGAGTGATGGGTTCCCAAGCCTCTTGCTGGCAGGCTGAGGTGAGGGGAAAGTGGTGGGGTGGAGGCTTTTTGTGGATGAAGGGTTTTCCCAGAATAATCTTTTGAGTATGTTTTAATTTCCAAGTGGTACTTCTACATTGGACCTGCAGAATCTGAGAGGCAGTTGAAAAAGCCACTTAAATAGATTTAGATAGCAAAGTTAGGGGCAGAGACCCTGCCTGCCTCTGTTTGCACAACGCCTACTGCAGGGGGTCCTGATCATGATTGGCTGCTGTTATGTAAACCTTTCCTATGCTGTGGCTTCCTTTTCTACCTACTTCCTTCCAGCTGGGATGTAGCCCAGACCCTTTCTTGTTTAGCATTAGTAAAAGGGCAAGGTGTCTGTTTTCTCCAGGCAGAGAACCTCCGGGCTCCCAGAATGTAAATATCAAATAAGTATCCATTGAAATTCACGTGCAAATGCAATTCATCATACAGAAAAAAGCCAACATCTTCATAGCTCTGGGTCATATTTTTCATGGGAAGGTGCTGCTTTTCCAACTGCCCCCTGCGAAGTACTAAATTCCTGCAAGTGATATTTGGATTAGGCAAGGCGTGTCTGAATCTTGTCCCTGCAGACATCATGTGCTTACATAACGCTTTTCCCCAGCACATCAGGCCTCAAGGTCAAGTTTGAAAGGAGGGTACCATAGCTTAACTAGATTGTTACATTTTTATCTTGCAAGATTCTGATGCCAGAGAAGATTGCAGAATTTACTGCAGTCCTTGTGGTAGGTCACCAAGCAGTAGGTCACTCTAACCTCCATCTTGCCTGGCCTCATTCTGGCTCTACAGTTCACTGAAATCTCTCTAATTTAATAAAGGGCTAATTAATCACTGCAGATGAGAGCATTCTTTCTCCCCCCTCCCTTCCTGCTCTGCCCTTGGATTTGGAGTGGGTCTTCTGGAGTTAGATTCAGCAAGGGATGTGCAAAGTAAGCTGTACTCTTTCCATTCAACATTCTTCCAGCATTCACTGAAAATGGAGCTTTGTGTGTCTTGGCCATTGCAGGTGGCAGTGTCAGGTTTACTGTAGCATCAGTGAGTGCTGGTAATGGAGTAGACGCTGTGTGCGTGAGTAGACACCACCATGTGGAACATCTTTCTGGATGATTCACTAGGCCATTTTGAGTTACAAGCAAATCCAACAGTTCTCTGAGCCCATTTGTATCATATTAACCCTTAGAACTGCTAGAGAATTAAAGCAAAATGGAGTGGGATCCAATATTCAACTATTGCTTTAAAATGAGCTGAATAGTGCTGCCATAGATTCTGAATTGCACAAGCCTGTGCTTTAATGCATAGACTGGCTACCTCTCCTGACATTCTGTTTACTTTGCTGTAGCAAATGGTTCTGTATTTTCTCTTTTCTTAATATCAGCAGGGGAGCAGCTTCTAGGCATAGATACTCTGGGTGTGCATATAATTATTGAGGGCCCTATAGTCCAAATAGTAATAAAGTTCAAACGTCCACGACTGAAGCAGATAGATCTGAATATGTCCCTGGGTCTCCCTTTGTGACAGAAGTAAGCAGGAACGCAGAACAAAGCCAATACTGCCCTCTCCCTTTGTTTCTGCTGTTTTCTTACTAGAGGGTCCCATATTTGTTTCACAGAACATAGAATCTGTTCCTCCAGCAAGGGCCTTATGATCCCTTACTAGTGCAGGCAGCCACCTGCAACCTTGGGCATTCGGCCCTGTTTGAGAAGCTGCTCCTGCCCTTTCCACCAGTCACGCAGTTGAGGGACGTGGCCATATGAGCAGCATAAGTGCTCTGCCTCCTACTTCACTGCACTCCTTATCTCCTTCATCCCACAGAGCAAGAATGTGAGCTCTGCTGTCCCTAATAGCGCAGTGGACTACAACTGAGCCCGGGGGGTGATAATTTGTTAATGCCAGTCCGGCAGCAGGGTGCCACAGACTTGACAGAACTGGTGATCATACTATTGGCAGTGCAAAGGCTGATAGCAGTGATGACGCCTTTTTTTGCTTTCTACTTCCACCTGCTAGGACAAGCAAAATCCCCGGATGCTAATGAGACAAGTCGGAATTGTCCCCCACGGCATTTGCATAAACATGGCTGCCAAGTGCCTGCCACTTTTTTCCGGCTCGGGGCTTTGCCGGAGAAAAGCACCAGTCTAGATGGGATCTTTCGGAAAATAAAGCCTTTTCCGGAAGATCCCTTATTTTCCGAAAGATCCCGTCTAGACTGGCGCTTTTCTCCGGCAAAGCCCCGAGCCGGAAAAAAGCGACAGCCATGTTCATGCAAATGCCGCGGGGGATATTTAAATCCTTCGCAGCATTTGCAATTCCGACTTGTCTCATTAGCATCCCTTTTCCGGAAAAGGGTGCCAATGTAGACACAGCCTTAGTTTTTAGTGCTGTTGTTCAGCCAGATGTTCACAGTGAAACCTGAAATCACAAGAATTTCCTCCGATTTTGGGTTTCATTACAAACTTGAAACTCACATCAGATTTGTCAGAAGATGAGAGAGCATTGCAGGGTCCAATAGAGGTCTCAGTGGGAGCTTTTTCTGACTGAGTGATGCTGGTAATTCCATTTCAGAAGAACCTGGGTGGTCTGGAAGAAACGTGACTGTACCAGCCATCAAGCAGAATGGCTCAGGTGGGGGAACAGAACATGGAGTTGGGTCTAAAGAGGAACACCGTGTATGTTATCCCCAGTGACCTAGCCAGAAGCCACATCAGGAGAAAAGAAGCATTGACCTGATCATCATTAGGGATGTGAACAGATAACCAGTTATCTTACTAGGTGATGTTTACCAGCTAATGGTTAACTGGTTCTCCTGGGAGCAGCCCCTCCCCCCCGGCCTGTGGCCTGCCATGGGCAGAGGGCTATTCCACCCTCGCTGAGCCCCCGCATGGGCCCTCCAGCCGGCAATCTGCCCTGCATGGCTGGCGGCTGGGGGCAGGAGCCAACAGCTAATCATGTGTAGGGCTAGGAGCAGGAGCCCCATAGGTTGGGGGCTGCTCCGGCTGGGCTGGAACATTCCACTGCCTGGGATCCCACTTACTCTCAGTTAACCAGTTAAACATTAGGTTAATGTAATGTTTAACTGGTTAACTGATTAATAGGGCTGTAAAATCCCAATTAATCAATCATCGTCATACCTTCAGTCTTCCTGAGCATACTTCTTGTGGTTGTCCCTTTGCTGGATTTGTTAGCTGGTGCTTTGCCTGGCTCTTAAAAGAAAGGGCTAGGTCACCATTCTGCCGGGAAGGACACACGCTGTGCCCCGCATCAAAATCTAGGCAGAATTTAACCATGTAATATCAGGAAGAATGCAACTTAGGTACAGCAGTGAAGTGTGTCACGGAGACTTTATTCTTGTTACCCACTCACTTGCCCTTGGTAAATGGAAAAAATAAAATGTTACCGGATCCAGGAGGCAACCTTGGCTACAGCTGGTTAGACAACGAATATTCCCCCAATGTGTGACCTCTGATTGACACCAGCCGGCCTGAATGTAGATACTTCCTATTGCACACCAAGATCAGAGTGTGAGAACACAAAGTCTTTCAGAGCACTAAATCTCCTGGCAAATATCTAGACGTTTGTAAGGGATCAAACACAGAAAATGCATCATCAGAGGTTCTGGGTGGGAGGAAAAGCATGAGAAAATTCAAGGATATTGGATGTAGCATTCATTCAATTACTATGCTTAGTTAAATACAGCACAGGGAATGAAGACTGCAGTCCATTAGGGTGGTTGTTAATAATGTCATTTAATTGTGAGATTACTCATATGCCATTTTAACATATGTAGAATAATATTATCCCTCTTTTGTAGGTCACTATTCTCATAAGTCTGGCTCTTGCATTCCTTGCCTGCATAGTCTTTCTTGTGGTATACAAAGCCTTTACTTATGACCACAGTTGCCCAGATGGATTTATTTATAAGGTAAGAGTTTCCAGCCAGATGAATGATCAGAAATGACAAAATCTAATTGTCATTATGGTCACAGTCTAACTGAACATTTATAAGAATGTGTTGAAAAGCGGTCAGTGTTTTGGAAAATGTGGACTTCTATCTGCTTCCATCAGCCACCATTTTATGTTGTAATTGTCAGGATTAGATCGTTGTCAATGTCACAGACAAATGTCCTAAATAATCCCTCATATTTTAGAATGAATGCATCGCAAGGGTATGTCTACAATGTAGTGCGTATCTTAAAATAAGCTATGCAATTCGAGCTATGCAAATTGCGTAACTTATTTAGAAATAGCTTATTTTGAAATTTGGCGCTGTCTACACAGCACTTATTTTGAAATAAATTGCTTTTCCAGCATCTTCCTTATTCCTCATGCAATGAGATTTACAAGGAAGCCGAAATAAACCACCTGTTATTTAGAATGTATTTCAAAATAACGGGCATGCTGTTAAGATGTGCACAACACTATTTCGGGATAACTTCCATTATCCTGAAATAGCGCTACTGTGTAGATGTACCCCAACTAATTTTTGGGTTTGCTTCCCATAAATAGTCAACTGATTAAGTGTTTCTGGCATACATGATCATGCAAAGTATATGTCAGTGGTGCATACATGCATAGTCCACACATATTGATTCTGACATTTGCATGTGCAAGTATTTGAGTGGCATGCTTTTGTGCCTCATCCAGTTAAGGAACAGAAACAAAACCTTGTGACTCTTTGACCAATCACTGCTAACCTACAGAGTTTTAATATCAGATATTCATTGAGAACTGAATGTTAAAAAAGAGAGGTAGAAAAGTTTACAAAACAATTCAGTGATTAATGGCTTATAGTGAATAAATTCATGGAAGACCTAATTGCGTGGGGATAGTCTGTGAGCAGGAAAAAAGGCTCAGTTAGCTGTTAAATTATTCATTGTGAACTATTCTCTTAGGCTGTGTCTACACTGGGCCACTTATTCCAGAAAATCAGCCGCTTTTCCGGAATAAGCTGCGAGCTGTCTACATTGGCCCTTGAATTTCCGGAAAAGCAACAACGCTCTACTGTACAAAATCAGCCGCTATTCTGGAAAAGCTACGATGCTGCCTCTCGGGCATAAGTCCTTATTCCAGACCACTGTTCTGGAAAAGGGCCAGTGTAGACAGCCCAGTAGTCTTTTCCGGAAAAAAGCCCCGATCGCGAAAATGACGATCGGGGCTCTTTTCCGGAAATACTTATAACAAAAACTATTCTGTTTTAAGCATTTTCGGAAATTCATGCCAGTGTAGACGTAGCCCTAGTGTACATAAAATCAGGGAGGAGATGAACCTTGAATTTTGCGTCCACATTCAGATTGGAATGTGAATTTCCTCAGTGTTCATGCACTTTGGATTTAGTGTTCTGCGTTGGTCTTGCCGCTCTTTAAACACACTAGTATAGAAAGGGGGAGCTGGAAGTCTTGGAGCATGATAATTATAAATCGAGCCCATTACTTCTAGATCACTCTCACCGCTGTTAATCTGACCAGATTGGACCAAAGGTTACCACCATTTGTTGGCTCTTCTGTGGCCTTTACAAAGCATATTGGGTTTTTCCAGCACAGTTCTTAGTGGAAGGTATCCACATGATAGAGACTGAGCTCCCTGTCCATTTCTAAGGTGGTCATCTTCAGGTCAGAGATAAGGCTACATTCCGTCTGCCCAGCCTGTATCTATTCCAAGGATTAATACAGAACTTCAGCGTGCAGGGCTGTCAGTCCAACACTTTGCGAGCTAACCAATGTCCTGTTCCAATATTGCTGGCAGATGCCTGATCTCCATGCATTCCAGTGCAGTGCCAAAGCAGCAGAATCCCCATTATGTAATTCTGATTCTGTTTCACCCAGTGAAACCGATCTTAATTGAGGCTGCCAATTCCAGCACGTTTTGACATCTGTTGACCCTGTCTGTGCCCCCTGCTATCCAGCCTTTCTGGGCATTCACTGAGCTATTTGTTGTTGGGGGAGCACATATGTTTCCACTGGAGCATGTAGCCCAATTTCTATGAACCAGTCAGATGAGTCAGTCATCAGTGTTGAAAATAATTGGGGGTTTAAAATAAATGTTAAGTAATGTGACTACTACTTACTTGTCCTGCTTTCTCCTTCTCTCCAGCATAAGAGATGTATCCCAGCCTCCCTGGATGCCTATTACTCAGCACAGGATTCCAACTCCCGGGGCAGATTTTATACAGTCATAAGCCATTACAGCATGGCTAAGCAAACCAGCTCACGGTCTGTATCGCCCTGGCTTTCTTCGGGATCGGTAAACCATGAAGCCAAGGCTGCCAAGACAGAAGGCCATTAAAGCTACTCATTGGTGATGGGAGGGGTTGGGAGTGGGGAAACACCGTGTCTATAAAGTGTCACTCTGCTTCAGAGAGGGTGCTGTGCTCACAGCACAACAAGAATAAACTAAACTCAAGTGCAGGAGACATCTTAATTGATATTTTTTTTTGTGCATTGTTCTCGTTGATTTGTAACCGAGTCAAGCTCTTGTACAAAGGCATGTTTGATGTTGACTGTAACTTACGATGTAAAAATATTTTTAAAATCATTGCTTAAATATTTGTTAGAAAAATGATTTAAAAAACAAAAAAAGCAAATTCAGAAAACAACCAGAGAGGATGGAATCAAGCAAAAAGAATCACACGGAAGCTGTCTGTTTGGTAGAATGTTGGGGCCCCTGAGCAGTATGTAACAGAAGAACATTTGAATACAGGTGACTGGGCAGCTAAACTTGCCAAAGTGGGCTCCTTCCACTGGCAAAGTGGGCTGCACAAAATATGGTATCAGCATTAGTTTGTGACTAGAGAAATCTACACACACGTGCATACACTAAGGTCTGAATTAAAAACAGATAGGTCTAGCTATCTGGAATACACAGTCATGGTATTAGAGATCTGCAGTGAGTTTTTGAGGATTCCGTGTTTGGGACATAGAGCAGGACAAGGAAGCTGTTGTGTCTAAATCACTAATTGGTTCTTCAGCATGAATTTGAGAACCTGGCTCTATTCCCAGTTTTGCAACAGATTACCTGTTTATAGTTGAGCAAGTCACATGGGGCCTGATCCTTTGCGGTGCTGAGAACTTCTTTGGGGAGCAATGAAACAAATAACCTCATTGCAAATCTAGGATGCTTAGCACTTACAGGAGAGGGGTTAGCACCTTAAAGGTTCAAGCCTGCTCTGTGTCTCTTTTTCTCTTTGTCCTTATTTCATGGACTCTTACTTATATGGGAAGTGTGAGGGTTTGCCTGTTGGTATGTAAAGTATTTGGAGAGTTAATGATAGAGAGTGCAATCAAAGTTCAAAGTATTAGCTGACCTATAAACCTGTGAATGTAAAAACAAACCACAAGCCGAGTTCCGTCGTAAACCAATCTAGTATCTACCATGTAAATTAATCTGAGCAAGCACATCTGTTTTGGAAGACTTGAGCAAAAGGAATGCTCTTTTCCAGAGCTGCCACCCAAAACATAGCAGTGTGACAGTTAAAATACTTGGGCTCACATTCAGCTTGAGTTCAAAAGAATAAGTACCAGCAGTAGGGCAAGACAAAAGTTTGGGTTTGAAGTTTAAGGTTTGCATTTCACCAAGTTTGCTAATCAGATTTGTGGGTATTGTGGGCTAGAAACGGGGAGCCAAGTCCATTGGGCAGAGTCTTGTCCTTCATTCTGCACACACACTGTTCCCAAGGGTTTGAATAGGGCTAGCCTGGCAAGTGGGGGCAAGACTGAGCTGACAGGAGTCATGACAAGCAATTGTGTAGTATAGCTAAAACTATAGTGTCAAACCCCATCGTCTGCCTTCCCCGCTCCATATTTCACCTGTAAATTCATTTCTCACTTGAAATGTACAAACCCCACCACAGAAAAATGAAAACTCCAACAAATACTGAACAATTTATTATTTTGTGGTGTGTGTTTTGTCAGTAGGTAGCAGAGACTGAAGTATTTTTTGGTGTAATTCTTGAACTTTTCTGACAAGAAAAATAAAGCTAGATGTGTCTGAGAGTCTCAATTGCCTAGAAGGGTTTCTTTTGTCTGTGTCCTGCTGTGGAGAGGGAGGAGCAGGGGGAGTGTTTGTACACTTGGAACACCTGGGTATGGTTGTGGCAAAGAAGTCAACTCCGCATTGGTTGTAATAGAAATGTTTGGAGGCATCAAAAGGTCATTTAGAACTCACATTTATTGCTGGTATGGTGGAACCTCATATGTCTTTACTGCCTTGCTCGTGTTTCAGCTGAAAACCCTCCCTTCAAATAAGAGTTTGAATTCTGCTGTCTTTAGATTGGCTGCATGCACTGCATCTTCCAATTCTCCGTTATATAAGACCTCTTTTCACGGCACTGGCAAACTAAAAGGACAGAAACATCACCTCAGACTACCACAGCCTGCATGGAACTGGCATACGAGTTCAGCACCATCCCAATCTAGTTCCTAGTGGAGGGGCAGGTCATGGAGGAGGGGAATAGAAACGGGGAAGGAAGCAAGGAATGGGTGTAACCATAATACACTGCTATGGCTATTCTCTGCTGGGCCCTGGGAAGCAGAGTGTATATTAGAGCAACTTTCTGACTCTCTCTCAGAAGAGAGCACAAAAGCATAAAACAGCCTCCATTCCACTCACCCCATCCCTCTAATTTGTGCCCCAGCACTGAAAAGAGGAAACTGAGGGCTAGGGTACAACAATTTATAGAAGTTTGAAAGCTACTACTAGTTTGGCTGGTAATATTCCCATTTTAAGTACAGAGAACATTTCTCAGACTTGTAGAATCCTCCAAGGAAACTTTGTCAGTGGTGTATTTTGGCCACACTTTCACGGACATCAGGGAGAATGCTGTCTATGTACATAGTGTTGGATTGGGCTCAGTGATCATTAGAAATAGTACATGAAAATACACAGACACACATTACAAAAACTGGAAATGGGCTGTACCAAGAGCCAGAATCTTTCCATCCTTGAGCTTTGACTCTATATTCAAACTTCATGGCTTCTAACAAAAATGTTTCCTTACATTCATCCAGCTAGTTTCTGCAGGCTCCTGAAATCCTTTATAATGGTTAAATACAACCTCTGGATGACTTCCCTTTTGAAAAGCTCAGGGTTGTAAAATTGAGTCACTGTGGAAGAGGGCTCACTCTGGTGTTACAGGTCACCACGCAGAACCTGTGAAATGCATTAAAAGGGATATAGTGCTCTCTTCCAAACTGAGTCACATTGTAATTTGACTGGTATTTCTATTGCATCTATTATGGTAGTACCGTAGTCCTCTGTTTATTTTGATCAAAATCCCCGGAATCAAATTATTTGTATTATATGGTGGAAGGTATAATTGGATTACAGTGTGATTAAAAAGTTTCTGATAATAAAAGAAGTGCCAAAATTGTATATGGAGCAGAACAAAAAAAGGTCCAACAGAGACCCAGGGGGCAGTAAAAGACAACAGCAGCTAGAAGTTAATCATTTGATTCATTGCTATTGGCACGATTACCACGGTCTATGTTTAAGCTGCAATATAAATTCCAAGATCAGCAACTTGATTGGTACTGCAGCATCTCTCCTTGTGTTTTAAACATTTCAGTCAGCTACCGCTCCTTTAGTTTCGGAGTCTGATTAAAGCAGTTTATTCATACGTGGCCACTGGCTCGCCTTGGCTCAGCACCACGCTGCTTGCACCCAGTATCTCTGTAGAAGGGTGCTTTGTTATGGGGGAAACTTCATGTGAAAGGACTGTGCCTGTTTTCATTCTTTACGATAGCCACCACTGTTGTATTCACACACACAATCATTTGACCTGCGGCATATTATCAGCAGTCTGATGCTGTCTGAGTAGCACTGCAATTACTCTTATCTATAAACCTGGACTAATTGCCTCCTGACTCAGTCAGTTTCTCAACTATCCTCCACTTTCGGATGCTTCCTCCATGTTACTTTTCTTTGTGTTGGTTTCTACACAAAGCCCTCATCCTCATTTCTGGGCCCTCTCTACTCAGTGGTCCCAGGCACCTTACTGGCTACTACTGGGGGGAAGGTCAATTCTCAAATAAAAAGCTGCTGCTTTGTGGGCCTCCAGCCAAGGCTGCCAGCTGTTTGCCAGCTGTGAAGTGTCTAGATTTTGGCTAACAGGGCTCCTACTGTCTCCTGGAGAAACAAGAAAGTGGCTGTATCACCGATACCGGGAAAAGCTGCTGGCTGAGTGTCTTTTGGAAGGAACTTAGAGACAAGTACCTCATTAGATGGCAAAAGGTGTTTGCGGTATCTTGTGTGGGGACCAGAAAAGGCAGAGGAAAATCAATGTACCTTTAAAAACAAAAAAATTCCCCTACACCCTTCTTATTCTCCTTTGTTTTGTTTTGCACCTCTACCCTTGAAAGCTTTTCCTAGTTTGAAATACTATTCAAATGAGACATTTAAGAGGCTTACACTGAATTTCCATAGTCACACTTCATCTGATTAGTGTTTTTTTAAAAAAAAAAACGTAAGTATTTTAGTCAAACTGGATTAGATTTCTTATATCCTAGATTTTTGTTCTTGCAAAATAGACAAAATGACAAGGGAGAAAAACACTGTCTTTTGGCCTCAGTTATTTCTAAATGCCTTGCACTGTCAGTGGTGCTGAATTCTGTTTCATGCAGCTGTATTCATGGATCTAAGAAATAAAGTCAGTTCCTTAGTAGTCACCTCACATGCTGCTCTGGGCAAGTGTCCTTCAAAGAGGCCTTTTTATTTCCCCCCACTTGAGCTTCTGACAAGGCATGTGCAGACAGGTTAAGGTAAAATGAGCCTTCTGCCAAAGAAGTTGGATGTCACTGTACTCAGGACAGTCACTGATGAGAAATCTGTGACACACCATCAGGGATAATAACCCTTGGCAGGTTCAAGTACAGGAAGGAAGGGAGCTCAGTTAATAGCATTATGTTCCTAAGCCCCCTCACTGGCCACACTCTTCAACAGAATAGAAAGGGCTAGTGCTGAAGACGGTTGTGTTCTACAGTAGACTATTAATGGCAAAATCAAAGACGATAACTAAGGCACAACTGTTACAATAGTCATCTAGTCCCTCGGTGCCTGTTGCTCCACTCTAGAGGTGATTGCATTCCAGTGGTAGGTAAAGAGACCCCTTTATGTAGTAATGAGATGGCTAGTGTGGATGCACACAACTTCCTTCTATGCTGCAGCGAGAACTGCCTAGCTGTGTGAAGGGTGTGTCACAGTACCTGTTCCGCCCACAGAAGTTCATTAGTATGAGTGACTGGGGCCCTTTGTTCTGGTGCATGAGAATCCATCTCCACTGACATTGTAAGGATGCAAGTGGCCATGGTGTTTGCTATAATGAGAAAACTGAAGATTTAGGTGGCTATTCTTAAGAGTATTTATGGAATTATGCTCTCCTAATTTTAATAAATCAAATGTGGCGGGTTCTACTGGGAAATCTATGAATGAAGGTGAAATTATTACCCTTTTCCTGCATGTTTATTATGGAAGGACTGATCTCCAAGCACAATCTACCTTGCCCTGGGTGTACAAAATAAATTATCTTAAAATCTGCCAGGTATCTTCACACACTTTAAGGATTCAGAGAGCAGGGTTCACTCTGTAGGTAATCATGAAACTACAGTAAGTCTGCCTGTCTAGTAAAGTCTAGCAACAGTGAGCTTTCATTTGATATATTCCTCGTTGCATAAAACACACAAGTTATTTGCAACTCTGTATCCCTTGCTCCATTCATCTGAAGAAGTGGGCTGTGCCCACAAAAGCTCATGATACCATCTCCACTTTTTTGTTAGTCTCTAAGGTGCTGTAGGACTTCTCGCTGTTTTTTCAGTTGCAGACTAACACGGCTACCCCTCTGAAACTGTAAAACACACTGTGCCTGATACCCAAGCCAGCAATATCTGAGAGGGGAGAGATAGTGATTTCAGCAAGACAATGCACTTTTTAAAGCAGAGACTTCTGTTTGTTCTGCATTTGTGCAGCATCTAGCACAGGGTAAGTTCTGTCCCGGACAAGGGCTCCTAGATGTTCACACAATATAAATTAAATAAAGTACTGAGAATTAATGCTGTTTTGGTGATGCAGACACCATGCTGTGGCAATCAGTAGAGCCCTGCATAGATACAAATTTTTGTATCCGCAGTTGCATCTGAATTGTCAAACAGGAGCCACAGATATCCACATCTGCAGCTGCAGATACCCACCTATATAAAGAGGTTACCTGCAAATTTGCAGGTTTCTAGATACAAAATGGCTGCGTCTAGATTGGCATAATTTTCCGGAAATGCTTTTAACGGAAAAGTTTTCCGTTAAAAGCATTTTCATAACAGAGCGTCTAGATTGGAATGGACGCTTTTCTGCAAAAGCACTTTTTGCGGAAAAGCGTCCGTGCCAATCTAGATGCACTTTTCTGCAAAAAAGCCCCGATCACCATTTTCGCGATCGGGGCTTTTTTGCAAAAAACAAATCTGAGCTGTCTACACTGGCCCTTTTGTGCAAAAGCTTTGCACAAAAGGGGCTTTTGCCTGTACAGGAGCAGCATAATATTTCCGCAAGAAGCACTGATTTCTTACAGTGGGAAGTCAGTGATTTTGCAGAAATTCAAGCGGCCAGTGTAGACAGCTGGCAAGTTTTTCCGGAAAAGCAGCTGATTTTCCAGAAAAACTGGCCAGTCTAGACACAGCCAATTTGTATCGTATCAGAGGGGTAGCCGTGTTAGTCTGAATCTGCAAAAGCGGTGAGGAGTCCTGTGGCACATTATAGATTAACTGAAGTGTTGGAGCATAAGCTTTCATGGGCAAAGACCCACTTCATCAGAAGCATGTAGTGGAAATTTCCAGAGGCAGGTATAAATATGCAGGTTAGAATCAGGCTGGAGATGACGAGATGGATCCAATCAGGGAGGATGAGGCCCACTTCTAGTAGCTGATCTGGAGGTGTGAATACCAAGAGAGGAGAAGCTCCTTTTGTAGTTAGCGAGCCATTCACATCCATATTTGCAAAAATGAACTGTGGATATGCAC